TGGGTGGGTAGGCAGGTAGGTAGGCAGGTAGGTCGTAAGGTAAGTTGGTAGGTAGGTAGGTGAGTAGGTAGGTATGTTGGTCGGCAGGTAAGTAGGGTGGTTGTCTAGGCACATAAGGTAGGCAAAGGTGGGTAAGGTTGGTAAGGTAAGTGAGATAGATAAGGCAGGTAAGGCAAGCAAGGTATGTAAGGTAGGTCAGGTAGGCCAGGTCGGTCATTAGGTCAAGTAAGGTAGGCAAGGTAGGTGAGGTAGATCAGGCAGGTGAGGTAGGTTGGTTCCCCGTAGAAGATTGCATGGGCCAGCGGGCACGGGTCATTGAACAGAAGGTTGCAGGACCGAGGGGGCGGCTACATCGGCTCCGCAGTGTCCGGCAGAAGGAGGATGGACAGCGCAAACGCAAGACGCATCAACGATGTTGCAATAAACACTCTCTCCCCACGCTCCTTCTTCATATGTGTCTGCAAATATGTATGTAAACGTGTCCTGGAACTTCCACGCCGCGTTACAATTACGCCCGGACCATCCTGAATCGTGCCAGAAAACCGTTCCTGGCACTTCAACACCGCGAATCAACGGGACGGCTGCGCCCTCACAATCCTGCGTCGCGGCAAAGCACGATTTCTACGTCGTCAACCGTAAGAATTATTGAAACGTATGTTAACTCTTAAGACGCATGCACACGGCGCTAAGCCGGGAACCACAAGATTCACAGGAACCGCCCTCCATCCGATGAACAATCGTACACACGATTGAAACGAATGCGCGTGGCGCTACAGCGAGAAACAAAGTTTGGAAACCGCCGGCCCTCCATCTGTGATACTTTTGAAACACTTAAAACGAATGCGCGCGGCGCTGAGGCGTTAACCACACTTTGAAGAAAGGGAGAGAAAGATAGAGAGAGAGAGAGAAAACAAAACAAACAAAAAAAAAAAAAAAAAAACGCTCTGCACCCATGAAACTCGTGCGAATTTTGTGAAACGAAGGTGCGCGGCGCTGGAGCGAGAGCCACACTTTGACAACCGCCCGCCCCTCATAAGCGAAAACCCTGCAAACGGTTAGGACGAATGTGCGCGGTGCGAAAACGAGAGCCATCTTTTGAAAACCGCCCGCCCCCCATGCGCGAAACTCTCGCAAACTCCCCAAGCAATGAATGCCTTTAGCGTTTCTCACTTTTCATACTCTGAGTGGGCCGTGTGTGGCCAGTCTGGTGGCTGTGGTCGCTGTCGCCGCCCCGTCGCCGCCTCGTCGCCGCCCGTCGTCTGGGTCGTGTCGCTGGTCTGGAGGATATGTGTTAGCAGTCGCCGCCCCGTCGCCGTTTCGTCGCGCCCGTCGTCACCATTGGATTGCACCACGTAGCTTGCAAGAACAAGATCGCGCCTGCGGCGCTGTTTCATCGTTCATAAAATGGTTTCCACAACATGCGTTGCGCAACACAGGCTGCACCACATAGATTGCACACCATGTTTCGAATAGCCACATATGTATTACACCATACATATTGGTATTCATGGCTTGCACTACATAGACTCCACAACACACACTGCACAACCTAGATTGCGCCACGTAAATGTAATCCTCCCCCCCCCCCCCCCTCCCCCCCCGATTTACCCGCCCTTTTTTCCGCCCCATGGTCCATCCGAAAAAACAATTCGTATCATCCCAACAAGGCCAGCAACTGCCCCCCTCACCATCTGCAGAAGCACTATGCGCGCACACCCGTTCTAACAAAACTCATCAGCGGTATAGGATCCCTCGGAAAATGGAACGAACAAATCGTCGTCGCGCGCGCATGGCGGAATCCATCAAAAACCACAGGCTTCTGACGGAATTCAAAATCGAGCGTCCCGAAAACATGTACAAGCACATGGCTTCGCTACAAGAGTTTCAAACACACACACACACACACACACACACACACACACACACAAAAAAAAAAAAAAAAAAAAAAAAAAAAAAAATGCGCGCGCGTTCTTGCAGATTCGCCAGACAACCAGTTGCGCGCTTCAACATCTTCATCAAATGCTACTAAGCGGGCTTCGCGCGCGCGCATGTCGAAATCGTTCGAACGCCCTTGCGCGCGTGCTCTCGCGATAACCCCCTACAAAAAGAGACGAAATGCACACGCGCGCGTTGTCGCGCGCGCGTGTCGTAGAGATTTCAGAACCGAGTGCCCCGAAAACATACAAAAAAGAACGAGGTGGTTTCGCATCATCAGTCTTCACCAAATCCTGCGCTCGCGCCCTTGCGAATCCTTAAGAAACCATGGATTCTTCTACATTGTCATTGAATTCTGCCAAACGGGTCTCTCTCGCCACTTGTCGAAATCACACGGACGCCCTTGCGCGCGTGCTGAAGGGGGCACGATCCGTGTCAAATCCGCCGATCCGGCGTGTGAGTTTCAAAAAACCTCAGATATAGCTTGCGCCCCAGTTCTTGAGTTTCAGCTCTTCTGGGGGGGGGGCCGGGGGGGCTCTGCCGAGGTAGGGCGGGGGGGGTCCGAGTCAATTTCGGTGGCAAAATCGGAGTTCCAGCTCACTCCGGGTCGGCCCCATCGCCCCGGAGAGCCCGAACGCGGGCTCATAAAAACCCAGCGGCCGCAGACGGCCCGAGAGGGCCTTGAGTGGCCGAGATATCGCTCCAAGACACCCAATATGTTCCTCAGACGGCTCCAGAAGCCTCCAACGTGCCCTCCCGACACCTCCTAAGAGTGCCCAAAGACGGAAAATCTGCCCCATTCACTTGGGAAAACGTACATTTGTTTCATTTTCGTTTCTTCGGCCTTCGCAATGTCCAACACGGCCCAAGAAACCCCAAAAACAACCCCAGAGGATCTCACGAGGGCCCCGAGTCGGCCCAAGAAGTGCCCAAGACGGCCCGGGAGGCCCCCAAGACAGCCCAACCGGGCCCCAGGACGGACCCAAGAAGCTCCCAAAAGGGCTCCATGACCCCTGAAGGGCCCATGACGGCCCAAGAGGCGCCCAGGAGGCAGCAAAATGGCCCTAGGAGTCACCAAGAAACCCCGAGAGACTCCAAGTTGCCCTCAAGAGGCCCCCAAAAGACGCCCAAAATCACCCCCGAAGGAAATTACCTCCTACACACCCCCAGGAGGCCTCCAGGACGCTTCCCGCATGCCCCCCAAGATGCCCAAAAGATCCGAAGGTTGCCCAAGCGAGTTCAACATTTCTATATTACGAGGATGTCTCGAGCGAGTGCTCTACATACATTTTAACCATGAAATGCCACCCGTTGCAAGCAGAATCGGTTGCACCCCGGATCGACAGCACTGGCCGGAGGCCACTACAATAACGCCATGCGGGTCGCTCTCGCACGTCGGCCGCGCGCGCATGTCAAACGCTGTCCAGAACCTTCATCACCGACGCGAGGACGCCATCATCGTCGTCGGCGTGATCAGCACCGGCGCAACATCGTCACCAGCATCGTTACTATCATCATCGTGTCTGCCGTTGCCGACGTTGCCATGATACCGCGCCCGCCAAAGTCGCCGACTCGACCTGAAATGCCCGCGGGGATGTGCCCTTGGTCAGCGCCACCGCGGCCGCGTCGGTCGCGCCAAACTAGCTGGCCACTGCGCTCGCGAGCATGCGCGGGCTAGCGCGGAAGCAGAGATGCACCAGCCAACACCAAGCACTCATCACAATCGCCTCCGCATGGGTTTGCAAGCCAAGTTGCGGGTGGGTGGGTGGGACGATTGCGCGAGCAGTGGAGTTAACAACTAGTTGCACCGCATAGACTGCACAACATATATTGCCCCACGTGAATGCAGCACATAGGTTGCACGATGTTTAGTTCGCGCTTGCGGCGCGCTCTTGGAACGCTCACAACATATATTGTGCGACGTAGGCTGCACAACATCGGTTGCACCACAAAGACTGCACAACACGGATTGCACTGCATAGGATGCACCACGTAGGTCTTACTACATGTACTGCACCGCACAGATAGCACTACATGTTGCACAACGTAGAAAGATATTACACCTGAGAAAACCACATCAGTGGATGATTTGAAAACTAGTCATGTGGATCTTGAGGTCGATTGTGAGATCGATAATGAGATCGATAATGAGATCGATCGTGCAATCGATAGAGGACGATTGTAAGGTCGATCGTGAGACCGAGAGTGAAACCGATTCAATCAGATCGATAGGGAGATCGATCGCGAGATCGCTCGTGCGATCTCTAGTGATATCGCTAGCGAGATCGATTGCGAGATCCATTGTGAGATCGATGGTGAGATCGATAGTGGGAAATGAGATCGATGCTGAGAACGATCGACAAGAAGATCGACCAGGAACCCGGGAACCTGGGAACCTCGCCACCCTGCAGCGCCAGCACTGATTGGGGCATGAAGAAGAAATGCACAACCGAAACTGCTAGAACACGCACTGCTTGGGGTCGACACTGGCTACTCCAGATTTCGTAATAAAAGGGAGGGGGTCTGGACCCGCCAAGACAAGCCATCTCAGACCTCCCCCGTGGGAGAACCCTCCAAAACATCGTCCCCAGACCCCCCCAGGCCCTCCAAGATAGCCTGGAAGAGACCCCCCCCCAAAATGAGACCCCCCTCCCTTTATTACGAAATCTGGAGTAACAGTGTACGAGTTTCAGGGTCATAAACGGCGAGAGGAAGTCTCGGGCGAAACGTCTGGCTCGCCCTACCGACACGTCTCGGGGTGCGACGGGGAAGAGCTGTGCCGAAGGGAGAGCAAAGGAGCCAGGAGGAAAGGACCTCGCCAGGGCAACGCCAGGAGGAGGAGCCAGCACCCAGATCGAGCCGCCAGCGAGAAGCCGAGAACGCCCGACATGCTCGAGCAGCGCCGAGCCCAATACCTCCGAGAACGAACCGGGGCGGCCGCACGAGGGAGCCCACAGGCCCAGGCAAGCGGCCCTGCCCTGAAGGCAAGCGGCGGCGGCGCGTCGGCGGCCGCGACGACGGTGCCGGCGACGGCCACCGCCACCGCGGCGAGCGCGCGAGCGGACGCGATCGCCGGCCACGCGGGGTCCTTCGCAATCGCCCGGAGTCTGCGGCGCGTTCCCGGGGCGAGCGACTGGCGGGGAGCATTCACCGTCGTCGCCGCCTTCGCCGCCTTCGCCGTCGGCGGCGCCGCCGGCGCCGCCGTCGTCGCCGTCGCCGTCGCCGTCGTCGCAGCCGTCGTCGTCAGCCTTCTCATGCCCCGTCATCCTCCTCCTCCTCGTCGACGCAGCCCAGGAGCACAACAAGTCTTGTCACTCCTCCTCCTCTTTTTCAATACCATCATCATCAGCAGCATCATCACTTCTTCCTCCTCCTCCTCCTCCTCCTCCTCCTCCTCATCATCATCATCATCATCATCATCATCATCATCATCATCATCATCATCAGCAGCAGCAGCAGCAGCAGCATCATCATCATCATCAGCAGCAGCAGCAGCAGCATCAGCATCAGCATCAGCATCAGCATCAGCATCAGCATCATCATCATCATCATCATCATCAGCATCAGCATCAGCATCAGCATCATCGTCATCATCAGCATCAGCATCAGCATCATCATCATCATCAGAATCATCATCATCACAACCCCCACCACCACCACCACCACCACCACCATCATCATCATCATCATCATCACTCATCAGCATCATCATCAGCATCATCAGCATCATCATCATCATCATCATCATCATCATCATCATCATCATCATCATCATCATCGTCATCATCATTATGCTCCTCCTCCTCCTCCTCCTCCCCCTCCTCCCCCTCCCCTCCCCCTTCCCCCTCCCCGTCCTCCTTGTCCTCCTCCTCCTCCTCCTACTCCTCCTCCTCCTCCTCCTCCTCCTCCTCTCCTCCTCTTCCTCCTCCTCTCCTCCTCCTACTCCTCTTCCTCCTCCTCCTCCTCCTCCTCCCCCTCCCCCTCCTCCTCCTCCTCCTCTTCCTCCTCCTCCTCCTCCTCCTCCTCCTCCACCTCCTCCTCCTCCTCCTCCTCCTCCTCCCCCTCCTCCTCCTCCTCCTGCTCCTCCTCCTCCTCCTGCCGAAGAGGGTGATAGGGCAGGGAGGTGGGGGGGGAGGAGGAGGCGGAGGTGGGGAAAGAGACGGAGGTACAGCGCGAGCTCGGACACTTCTGTGCACGCCCAGCGGTCACACGGACCCACCCCGACACGGTTGCCGAAGGTTGGCCACAAACATGTCAGCCCAAGCTGCTTCTTCGACGCGCAGTTCACATGAGGGATCGGCGTGGCGAATAAGCGGCGGCGAAATACAACGCCTGCTGACCTACACGCTGCGTCGCTTTGGGCCGCCCGACAGAAGGCCGAGAGGGCACCTCCCATGGACCCTGATGGCCTACAGCCCCCCCCCAGCTCGGTCCTCAACACAGAAGGATACAGTGAGTGAAATGGAAGGGAGGCCTCGCTAGCGAGAGGGGAAAGTGAAACCTAAGCAAATTTTCGTTCCCATTTATCTCCCCGTCGAAACAGTAGCTGGCGGTATCGGGGTCGACCCCGAAAAATGGAACGCGCCCACAATGGAACATATCGCCACTGCAACTCCACAGGGCTCCGGAAGCGCAGCCTGTCGGGGGCTCTGCATTGGCCGCAGGGAGAAACACATAATATGCGCAATACGAACAAGGAGGTCTGCGGCAGCGTAATCCAAGACAATGCGCAACCGGCACGACGCATCAGCTGGCCAGCCTCGAGTGCAAGTCCAGAAGGGGCCCATGCAAGGCAGATGAGGGGAGAGGCATCGCCACGCACAGTAACAACACCCACTGGAGAGTAGCTTGAATATGTTGCTCAGCGGCAGGGGGGCGAGATGCAGATCGCATTGTCTGAGCCGCAACCTTCCCACCCGAGCTGCAAGCGCGGGCTAATAGAAGCCACCTCCTGCGCGGCCACGGCTGAGGCGCCGGACGCGACTTGCTTACTGCCGTCCAGTGGGCAGCTAGTCTAGCTCGGCCTGCGCCGCGGAGGCGGAGGCAGCTTGGCGGGCCAGCCCGACCTCCAGCACAGCGGCTGCGAGGGCCTCCGCAGAGGCGGGCGAGGTAGCCTCGATGAGATCGAGGCTGGCGAATGGAAATCGGAATAGTTTGGCAGTGCTGGCCTTAGGGGACGATGCGCGATTATGCACGCCCCGTCGCAGGCTACGACAGTGCAAATGTGGCCGTCGACAGTTGGCGGACAACGCGGACGCGGGCCCGCTGGGGGAATAGGCCCCATGCCCCACCCCGAGGGCGGAGGCGAAGGCGGGGACGGGCTGCGGCGATGGCCGCAACATGTATCCAGCCTCCCAATGTATCGCGCAGTTTCCAATCCGCAGAAATGCCGCGGGAATGGTTGGGGAGCGGTCCAGCGAGTCGCCCGCGCGCTTAAGTTGCGCCGACAGCTCGCTCGCGCCAGGGGGAACCGCGCGCGGCGATCACCGCGCGCAGGTGGCCGCGGGTTCTTTGCCGCGCGCGGCGAGGGAGCGGCGAAGACGCCCACGGGGAAACCGACGCTCAAACTGCGCGGGGGCCTCACGGGAAGCTGGGAGCTCGGAAGGCACGCGGCGCTCACGAGACACAAAGAACTCGAAAGGCACTCGGCGGCCAGGACGCACGGGCAGCTCAACGGGCACCCCTTGGCCGAGGTGGGACGGGCTGCTCGCGGGGCACCTGGGGGCCGCGACGCGCAGGCATATCGCGAGCTCGAGCTGGAGACTTCGGCTCAAGCTCACGCGCCCGGCAAGCTCCAGCGCTTCGCCGGGGCGGCGCATTGCCAAGCGCCTCACCCATCCACTCCTGCGCCCCTTCCAACGCAGCGCCGCCGCGGCTACACAGGGGCCCCAATTACGCCTTCGCATCGACTGTCGAGCGAGGGCCTTCGGCGTCTCCAGAGAAGGAGAAGCTCGAGAAGATGCGACGTCTGAAGGAGACTTCGGGCTCTCCGACACTGGGGCCTGGATCCCAGGGCGGCCTCGCCACCGCGCAGCCCCCGAACGCGGGGGCCCTCGACGCCGCCAACGCGCTTTCAGAGAGAAGATGGACCGAACGGCCTTGAAGTCCGACCTCGAGGATTTCAAGAAGCAGGTCAACAAAGAGATCAATGTCAGCGCCCCCGACGCTGTGAACATTCGAAATAGCCTTGCAACGCGCTGGGCACTCGCGCCGCGAAGCCTCGCCCGTTCGCCCCGGACATTGCTGCCAACAACGCCATCAAAGACATGCAGAAGAACGCCAATCGCTCTGACCCCGCGCGACGTCGCGCGGCCTTTGCAGGGCGGGCTGACGACGCCGACGCCGACGCGCGCACCACCAAGATGGAGTCTGCTCTCGTTTCGACCTGTGGGTTTTGGCAGCGAATACCATAAGCCACATTCGGACAAGAAGTTGCCCAAGGGGTCTCGGCTTGAATCCCCCGGCGCGGACGAGGCAAGTCGCCCCCATCCAAGGACGCGCCTGCCAAGGTCGAGCTGGGCACGGGCGACGAGAAGCCATCGATCAAGGCGGCCCGCGCGCAGTTGCAGCGCAAGCGGGATTACGCCACTCGCGAGGCCGAGTCGCTTATCAAGGAGCCCCCCGCCGCCAACGGCAAGGACGTCAAAATCGAGCGGCAGGCGCAGGGCTCGCGCGAGCGCCGCGCGACTGCGAACGGCATCGCGGCCTTGAAGCAGGACGAGGACGTCGCCACTGGCACGTTCGTAAAGCCCTTTGCCAATCCAGTGATCCCTCTGGGATTTCCCGGGGCCGCCCATCACAACGCTTCCCATCAAAACCGATCTCTTCCAGTTCACCGGCCCGCCCGCCACTCTGCGGCAGATGAGCGGCCGCAATCGTCGACGCCCCGGCGCCTCCGTCGCCGCGGCCCTCGTTCTGTTCATAGTTTACATGTTCAGCGACGCGCGTGGCTATGTTCCTTCGGCCGTCGACGCCCCCACGGCGACAGCGCGTGGAAATCCGAGCAAGAGCCCCCAGACCTCGACATGCATGTCTCCGCCGTGCACGCGCATTTGCGCGGTTACTTGACGCGCCACGCCGACCACCATCGCCCCCCCCTGTTCGGCTTCCCAGAAACTGTCGTTATAGCCGAGACGTGGCTGAATCAGAGCGTCGCGAGCCCTTCCTTGCCGGGCCATGCCGCCATCTCCAGGGCTGGCCGGCGCAGCGGTCAACAAGGCGGCGGCAATCTGCTATTCGCCAGGTATTCGTTCTCAAATTGCATGGCTGACGCCGACGATAGTGAACGTTCTTGGCACGTTGTTCACACGGATCACGGACATCATCTTCTCGCTCTCTGGCATCGCCCGCCGGACTTGGGAGAGATCGCCCCCATGCAGTCTTTCGAACACGAGTGGCATCAACAGCATGGTCTTGCAGTTGTCACCTTGCTCGTCGGCGACATCGGCGCCCACCGCAATCCCTGGCTTCTTTTTTCCGGCCGGCACCTCCCGAGAAGGCAAAGAGCCATTCGAAGCGTGCTCGAAAATTGGCCCGAGGCAAGAAGTGGGCAAGCCCGCGCGGGGCAAATAATTGCTCGACCTCGCTGTTTCAGACCTCACGTCGGGAGTGGCGCGCAAAGTTCTTCCTCCGCTCGCTGATCATAACATTGCACGCGCGGAGATTGGCACGCGCGTTTCTTCCGCTGCTCCTATTGTGCGGGAGCAGCGGTTGTTCAAGAAGGCTGTTTGGCATTGAGTCCGCACGGCTCTCTCAGACGTTGGTTGGCGAGGTTTCTTGTCGCATTGCGACCCGCCCAATGCGGCAGAGGAGTTTGCGGCTTTCCTTCTGCGCGCGGCCATAGAGCGCATTCCTAAGTTCCTTACGCGAGCGCAAAAGTTCACACACCCGTGGCTCAATGAAACTCGTTTCAAGCTCATTGACCAGAAAATCCGCGCCCACGGTACGCCAGTGTACGATGAGCGGCAAAAGGCTTGCTCAGCTGGGTTCTTGCACGAGCATCAACAGCACGCCCTCGCACTCGACAACGTATTCTGGAGATGCGCCCTACTTGCAAAAAAAACGGTGGTCTTCCTGTGACCACCTGATGCTCCGGGCAGGCACTTCGCGCGCGCCCATGCCTCCGTTGTCGTATACTTCTGGCACTTGGGCTTTGGAGCCAGAGGACAAAGCTGACCTGTTCGCAACCGCCTTCAATGAAAAGTTCTGCCTCCCAGCCGCTCGGAAGCAAGATTTCTCGGAGATCTCCGCGCCCATGGGCCAAATCATGGCACATGTTGCCCCTGTTCGGCGACGCGGTGCCTTGCGAATTCTTCGGAGTCTTCGCGAAGATTCGGGCACTGGCCCCGATGCTGTACAGGCACGCCTTTTGAAGAGATGCGCCGAAGAACTGGCCACTCCACTCGCTCTATTTGACCGGGATATCTTACAGCATGGCGCGTAGCCTACATCATGGAAGATCCATTGGCTCTTTCCTCTCTTCAAGCGCAAAGACCGGTCAAGAGCTACAAATTACCGTGGTATACATATAACTTCACAGATCAGCAGAGCAGTGGAAAAGATGTTCGCCAATGTGCCCTTGCCATTTTCGAAGCTGCGCAAGCATTATGGTTTCCACCAGTTCTCGTACCACCGCGGCCGCGGCTATCGTGGCACCCTTGCGTATGCAATTTGCAACTGGGTGTGGGCTGTCGGCAATGGGCGCCGGGTGGCCATGTACTGCTCAGATCTGTCCGGCGCTTTTGACAAGGTACGATCTGCGAGGCTGAATTCAAAATTGAGGGCGGCCAGGGTCTGTGATAATCTCGTCAACGTCATAGCCACATGGCTGGAGCCCCGCACGGCCAGAGCATGCGTAGACGGCGTGTTCTCGGACCCCTTCGTGCTGGAGGACATGACGTTCTAGAGCACAGTTCTCGATGAACCTTTCTGGAGTGCATGTTATGCAGATGCCAGACAATCGATTTCGAACACCGGCTTCGAGGAATGCGTTTTTGCGGACGACCTGACTTGATGGAAAATGTTCAACGGCACGTCAAACAACACAGATATTCCACAAGCGTGCCACACATGTCAAATATCGCTTCACACGAGGGGGGTTACTAACCAAGTGGTCTTCGAGCCCGAGAAAGAAAGCACACACATTAGACAAGCTCCGACCTTTCGGGGACAAATTCGAAATATTGGGCGTCCTGCTTGATCCCAAGTTATCCATGTTCTACCCTACCCAGAAGCTGTCTACAGAGGCATCGTGGAGGTTGAAGGCGCTGGTCCAGACAGGCCATTTCTACATTACCTGGGACATGGTCCGCCTTAACAAGTGCCACGTGCTATCTTTCTTCGAGAGGGCAACCAGCGCGATCTTCCACGCCACAGACACGGTCCTGAAAATGATCGACGACATCCAGATTGAATTTCTTGGCCAGGTATCCTTGACAGACGAAGCAGCGCTCTGCGAGTTCAACTTGGCTCCTCTGAGTATGAGGCGAGACATTTCTATCCACGGCCTTCTCTTGAAAGTTTCACGCGGCAGTGCTCCTCCTGATCTCTCCTCCTTGTTCCCTCCTGTCTCTCGACATCGCGAACGGCACGGTTTCACCGCAAAGCGGCGTTTCCACAGCAGAGCTTCGAAAGATCCCATTGAACCAAGCCATCACACAATGCTTCCGCGATCGAAATTCGGCATGGCTCGTGTTTTAAATGATTATCTTCCGCAGCGAATGGTTGACTGCCACTCTGTCGAATCTTTTCAGGGAGCTCTCCAAGAGGAGAGCCAAAGTCGTTGCATCTTCTCGCGCCAGCGCGTGGCCGTCGATATGTTCGGCACGCAGCTGCGCCTGTTGACATGCTCACAGTGGTTTGTTCAGAGGGCATGTTCGTAGATTGAAAAGTACGCGGTGCTCTTGACACAGGGAACCCGAAAGGCACCTGACGGCCAGGAGGCACGGGTAACTCAACAAAAGTACCCCTTGGCCGGAGCGGGACGGGCTGCTCGCAGGGCACCTGGAGACCACGACGCACCGGCAGATCGCAAGGCACGCGGTGCCCACCGTGAGCGCAAGCGCCGGATAGCCGCGCCGCGCGCTGCGGACGCCGCCCGCGTCGGGCTGCGGCGCAAACAGGATCGGAGGGCGGCGTGCCGCTGGCTGCGCGAGTCGTAAGCCCCCTCCCGCGACAGGAGGCCCGAGCTGGCGCGGAGGGGGCAGCGGCAGAGGCAGGGGGCGCAGGAGACGAGTGGGAAGAGGACACCCCTCCTCCCTGCTCTTCGCTCACCCCACATCCCCCTCATCCTCATCCTCCATGTCCTCCTTCGTGTGCCTCCTCCTCCTCCTCCTCCTGCTCCTCCTCCTCCTCCGCTTCCTCCTCCTCCTCCTCCTGCTCCTACCCCGCTTCCTCCTCCGCCTCCTCCAAATGCAGGATAAGGAGGGGTGGAGGAGAAGACCCCACCATCACCGCCTTCGTCCCCCTTCCTGCTGCTGCTCCTCCTCCTCCGCCTCCTCCTGCTCCTCCTGCTCCCCCTCCATGGCCGTTCTAACACAAGCGCGCCGCGGCGTCGGGAGGCCCTCGCAGCGCGCCGCGCGGGCGCGTGGCGCGCTGGGGGCCAGAGCAGCCAGAGCAGCGCGCTTGGCCAGCTGGCGCGCGGAGGCAGGCCCCTCGAGGGTTGCGTCGCTGCGGCGCCAGACCGCCCTCTCCCTCTGAACTGTTGGCCGCCGCCCCCGACCTCGGGCCGTGCTCCGCCCGCAGACGCACGAGCCCCGTCGCCACCGCCGCTGACGGCGCCGCCCGCCCGTCGGTGCCGCAGGGCCTGCGCAGAGAGACGCGGCGTGCAGGCGCGCCAAGCGCCCCGGCGACGCGCGGCGGGGGGGCGGCGCCCGCCCGAAGTCGCAGGCGACGTCCGCGCGCCGGTGCGCCTGGCCCGGGGGGCGCGGCGGGCGGCCGGCGGGAGGCCCGCGAGGGCCCGGGGCGGGCCAGCGGGGCGAGGCGCGCCACGCCGCGGAGGATGCGGAGGGAGCTGCCCGCGCCACAGTCTGCCAGCCCCATCCCTATAGAGGCCTCCTGGATGGGGTCCGAGCAGATGAGGCATCGGCGAGGCATCGGCGATGCACAGGCGATACATCGCCGACATCGGCGACGCCTCTGCGACGTCGGCGTGAAGCAAATCGGGCTCCACATGGAGCCGCATCGGCGAGGCACTGGCGGTGCGGCGCGATCCTCCGACCCCCACCTACTCCGACCCCATCTAGGAGGCCCAGAATCCCGCTGGACGTGCTGGAGAGGTGCAGGGAGGAGCTCCTCTCGGCAGGCCGTCCGACCTCTTGCCGGAGGCCCCGTCGCGGGCTCCGCCGCTGGACACCGACAGGTGCGAGGGGAACCTCGATGACCCCGCGCGAGGAGCAGCAGCAGGAGGGCCCGCTCAACGGCCACCAGCAAGTGCAGAACCCGATCGAGGGCGAGCTTCGCAACGCGGAGCAGGCGGTAGTATATAGAGTTGCTGCAGGCAGGCGCGTTCGGGCAGCTGGCGGATCTCACCGACGAGGGGCTCTCAGCGTGCGAGCCCCTGGACGTGGAGAGCCGCACCGAGGACGAGCTTCGCAACGCGGAGCAGGCGGTCCAGGAGCTGCCGGCGCACGCGGTCGCGCAGGTGGAGGGCCCCCATCGACGAGGCGCTCCCGGTGGGCGAGCCCCTGGACGTGGAGAGCCCGCCCCCTCGAGGACGAGCTTTTCCAGCCGCGAAGCAGGCGGCCCGCGTGCTGGCGGCGGACGTGGCGGCGCAGGCGGGATGGGCTCGGTCGCGACGAGACGCTGCAGAGCCGGAGGCTGGCGCTCCAGGAGTGCACTGCCCGAGGGCCTGGCGACCCCCACCGCCCGTCTCCAGGCGGGAGCAGCGACCGTCGCACGGCCCGTCCCGTCCGCCCCGCCCCGAGGGCGTCGACGCTCGAGCGGGAGCGGCGGAGACCGCGCTCACGTCACGTGCTGGTCCTCCTGCTTCCCCACTTCTCCTCCTCCTCCTCCTCCTCCTCGTCCTCCTCCTCCACCTCCTCCTCCTCCTCCTCCTCCTCCTCCTCCTCCTCCTCCTCCTCCTCCTCCTCCTCCAACTCAACATCCTCCGCCTCCTCGCCCCCAACTTCCTGTGCCTCCTCCTTTCCCCTCCGCACCCCTCCTCCTCTTCCCGCCCCCGCCCGCGCTCCAGCACCCCCGCCCCTCCCATCGTCCTTCCTCGGATCGTGAGCGGCGATGACGAAGAAGACCTTGAGGAGTTGAACGAGGACGAGGACTAGGACGAGGACGAAAACGAGGACGAGGACGAGGACGACGACGACACCGACTACGATAATTACGAAGACGAGAACGACGCTGGGGACTTGAACGAGGATAACGACACGACGCTGACGCTGACGTTGACGCTGACGCTGACGGCGACGACGACGACGACGACGACGACGACGACGACGACGACGACGACGACGACGTGGTTGGGCGCGGTCGCCGGCTCGCTGCCGCCTCGAGGGGGTTCTTGCCCTCCGCGATCTTCTGCCAGGCCTCCACGCCCAGGGCCCGCCCTCCCAAAGAGCAGGACCAGTCCCTTCCCCTGCTCGGCCACCGCCTCCTCCTGCACCCTCCACCTCCCGCCCCCATCCTCCTCTTCTTTCTTTTTCTTCTCCTCATCCTCCTCCTTCTAATCCAGCTCCTACTTCTTCCTTTACAATTCAGCTTCCTCTTCCTGCTTCTCATCATCGTCCTTCTTCTCATAAGCATGATCCTCATCAGTGTCATCTTCATCATCACCAGCACCATCATCATCCTCCTCCTCCTCTTCCTCCCCTCCTCCTCCTCCCTCCAGGAGGTCTCCCAAGAGAGCCATGAGAGACCAAGATCATGAATTCCCCGTTTCGCGTTTTCGGCCTACCGACGCCGCAAGACGGCCCGAAAGGCCCCCAATCTTGCCCCAAGGTGGCCCAAGGAGCCCCAAGAGGGCCCCCAGACTGCCCAAGACTGCCCCGAGACGGCCCAAGACGCCCCCCTGGACGGCCCCAAGAGGGCACCAACAGGGGGAGTTCGAACTGACACGTCGAGCCTCCCGCCCCAAAATGATCCCCGAGACCGCCAGCAGGCCCCCAAGAGGCCCCCCAAAAGCCCCAGGAGACCCCCCGGAATCCCAGATGAGGCCCAATAAACCCCAAAGACGCCGAAGCTGACGGCCATGTGGGCTCTCCGCCTCGACCCCACTCTCTCCTCGGCGCCTCCGAATTCGGGAGGCAGCCGATCGGCAGCTTCTGTTGGCGGCGCGCACAGGGGGGTAGGGGGAGGGGGGAAGGCTTCTTAGAAGGAGGCTGCTTCTTAGAAGGCGCCGGCCTTACATTTGCAGACAAGGCCCGCGCCTTCTAAGAAGCAGGGGTGCTTCTGAGAAGCCTTCCCCCCTCCCCCTACCCCCCTGTGCGCGTTGCCAATTCTGACAGATCGGTCCGCGCCCGCGCGTGCCTCCAACTGCCCGCCCTGCCTCGGCAGAGTCCGAGGAGCCGGCTCGCGGAGGCCACGGGCACAGCGGGCGAAGTCTTCCCCTCTCCTCCTGGGAGCCTCTCTCCTCACCGTTCTTCGCCCGACACGCCGATACTGAATGTTCCCAGGTGAGAGCAGGATTGGCCCTCGTCTCTGCGACAGAATCGCTTTCAGAGTAGATTTGGAGGCGCCACTGCACTTCCATCGTGATCAAGATCGGCACGCACTCGCGCGCAAGTCTCACTCGAGGAAAACAGCGAACAAACTCTCTGCCCCATCTTTCTGCCTCCTCGATTCTCATCCCTCCCGCGAAATTACCTCCTTATTGCCCTGACCTCATCCACGTCATCCTCCCTCCTCCTCCTCCTCCTCATCCTCGTCCTCCTCCTCCTCCTCCTCCTCCTCCTCTTCATCCTTCTCCTCATCCTCATCCTCCTCCTCCTCTTCCTTCTCCTCACAACTGATGAGCCTGAAACCTAGAAACTTTGAACAGTCTCGCACATGAAAGGCGGTTGGTTTCCAAAATGTGGCTCTCGCCTGAGCGCCGCACACACTCGCCTTCAACAAGTGCAGGGATTTAGCGAATTGAGGGCGGGTGGTTTTAAGAATGTGGCTCTCGCCTGAGCGCCGCGTACACTCGTCTTAAACCTTTGCGAAAGTTTCACGTATTGAAGGCGGGTGGTTTTAAAACTGTGGCTCTCACCTCAGCGCCGCGCGCTTTAAAAGTTTGCAGGAGCTTCACGGCTTCAAGGTTAACCTTCCAGAAATAATGTTTTCGAGAAATCCGGATTGTCAGGGCGCAACGCATACGCTGATTCGCGGTGTTGAAGTCCCAGGAATGGTGTTCTGGCACGATTCAGGATCGTCACCTCGCAACAATCAAGTTGACTCGTGGCGTTGAAGTCCTAAGAATGGTGGTTTGGCACGCTTCCGGATTTTCACAGGGCTGTCTCCAAACGAGGCACGTCCCTCAGAGGTGGTGAACAGGCCTACGAAGACGGAGCTTGAAGAGGGAGTATCCAAATATCGTTGGTGAGTTTTGGGTTTGCACTGGTCCTCCTCCTCCTCCTCCTCCTCCTTTTCCTCCTCCTCCTCCCTCCTCTCTCCTCCCTCCTCCTTCCTCCTCCATCGTTATCCTGTTCGTTTGCCCCACCGTAGGGCAGGATCGTGACGGCCGCGTGCTACGCGAAGGAAAACACCAACGTTTGGACACATTCAGCCATGGCGATGGTCTCAGCTTCGAGTGAAGACAGGGGTGCCTGTAAGTATGCGCCAGACATGCCGATAACGAGACGAATCGCGGGAGCGCCGCTCACCGAACCTCGATTTAGATACCAAGCGGCGGCCGAACACGAATCAAATCGAGTCCCGCCGCCCTCGTGCAATATAAGACTCGTCTAACGCAGGTCAGACAGGGTATCTCCAGGCGCCAGATATCACCTGTACCAGAACCGCCTCTCGTCCACCATGTGCGTTACGGGATGATCAGATCACTTGACCCCCCTCTCCTGAAGGGGCCCTGGGACACACAAATAAATTCACACGAATAAAAAGGTTCCCCATAGTTTCCCATATTTTCTGGGTTTTTGTCTTCCCGCCCAATTCCCATATTTTCCTATATTTTCTTGGGGATCGACGATTAATTGTGTCTGTGTGTTTTTGATCCCTCCTGATCTCCTTCCAACCCGTTGTCGAACCCTTCCTCCCTCCTGACGAGCCGCGCTCGGGGCAACTCTGGCGGTGCCCGGCGCGCCACCCCGCCCACCCAACCGGGGGGCGGGGCCGACTCGGAAAAGGGCGCCGCGGCGACCTCGCCGTTGGGAAGAAAGCGGTGGAGACCGACGAAGGGGGACTAGGAAGGCACCAACTATACACCAACACCGATCCTGGCCAGGATCACCCTGGGCCCAGGATCGGTGTATACGCCCTCCTGCCCTGCGCAAGAAGGCATATACACCGATCCTGGGCCCAGGGTGATCCTGGGCCAGGATCGGTGTTGGTGTATAGTTGGTGCCCTCCGAGGACGGGCAGAGCGGCCACTGCGCGCAGGTGTTGCACCCTGCCCCCTCTAAGGGCGCGCCCCTCCTCTGCGCCCTGGGCGGGCGCCGTAGACCGCTTTTGCGCTGCAGCCGGCCCGCGCGGGCCACCCGCTGAGGAACGACGGGGGCGGGGGCGGGCTCCGGAAGGCGCACGCACGGAGCTGGACTCGGCGATGCACCACCGACACATCGGCGATTGGCCCCCGGCTGCTACACGGCACGCTTCGTGTCTCACTCTTCACGAGCATGCCCGTGACTGGCCCAGCCCCCCCCCCCTTTCCCCATCCCTGGCCACGCCACAGATCGTGTCGGCGACGTCTGGAAACTGGCCACCATCTCGAACCATTCTCAGACGGCGCCGGCGCAAACCGCGACGAGACCGGCCCCCTCCCCCTCCCCCCCCCCCCCGGCCACACCCGTCATCGCAAGGAGATAACAAAACTACCTCCCCAGGGCCGATACGTCCCCCATCTGGCGCCCAGTCCCCCATCGTTGCCCCTGAAAGGACGGCCCCCCTGGCGGGGGCGGGGGGAGGCACCCAGGGGATCCCAGGCGGGCCCCTCCTGTTGAGGCCGTGGTTGACGGTCAGCGCTGGGGAGTTCAGGGGTCCAAAAAGCGCCGCCGAAACGAGTGGGGATGTCACGGCCACAGCGCTTTTACGTCGCGCGAATCTTCAAGCACGCCAATCGGAAAAAATATCAGAAATATGCGCGCCTCCGACGACGCGGCGGGGCCCCCTCCTGCCCCTGCCCTGCCCAGGGCCTGCTCTCGCGGAGCAGGCCCCGGTGCGCGCGCCCGTCCGCAGGCCCAGGCGAGCGCGCGGGCCCGTCGAGGAGCTGCGCTGGGCCCTGAGGTACCGTCGGGGCGTTGACCTGAGGAACCCTAAATGAGGAACGAGGCCCCTTCTCTCCAAAAGTTGGCCTTCGACTTCCTGCCGGAAACATGAGGAAAGCCCGAGGCAAGCTGTGAAACACTTGGGGAACGCGGAGCCCCTCCCCGACGAAAAGGGTTCCTTCTTCAGGGCCCCGACGGTAAGCCCAGCGAGAGGCGGGAAGGAGCGGGGCAGAGCGGCCGCGGAGGGAGGGGCCAAGGCAAAGGGGCCCTGGGACACGCAGATAAATACACACAAATAAAAAGAATTCCCCATAGTTTCCCATCTTTTCGGGGTGCTTGTCTTCCCCCCCACTTCCCATATTTTCCCACATCTTCCTGGGAATCGAGGATGAATTGTGTCTGTGTGATTTTTCCCCCTCCTGACAAGGGAGGGGCGAGCCCGGACCGTGCAGAGGAGCCACGGGGTCGGCGGGCTGCGGCGAGGGGGCGCGACAGGGCCGCGGGCACGGGGCGCGAGAACTTCCTGGAGGAGGCGGAGGCCTGGAGATGGGCGCCAGCACCAACACAGGGGGTCGCCTCCCACAGGGGGGAAGCTGATCCTGGATGTCGGTGCTGGTGGTAATATTTCGGCCACCTCGGGAGCCAGGGGGTCGCCTCCACTGGGGGGAAGATTTTTTTTTGCGGCACCGCTCGCACGAAGTTCTAGTCATCCGTGGGCTCCAGCGTGCCTCGCGCACCCTGGCGAGCCGCATCGACCCTGCGCAGCCTCGCACGGATCAATCAGTGGCGGCCTGGTGCCTCCACAGGGGGGAAGATGGTCCTAGATGTCGGTGCTGGTGGTAATATTTCGGCCACCTCGGGAGCCATAGAATCTTACCACCACCACCGAGATCGAGATCTTCTTCCCTCGGTGGAGGCACACCGCCGAAATTGGTGTTGGTGTCAACCTCCAGGCCTGCGAAAGAGGTGCAGCAGGTCGGCGAACTGGTCGCAAGCCCTGGCACATGCAGCCTGCCCGCACGAAGCAGGTCCTGGCACCTCTGCGGCTTGCCCTCGCGTTCTGAACTTAACCATGCCGATACCGATATCCTCCCTGGCCCCGGCAGCTACCGTTGCCTCCCCATCGATCGGCGACTCCTAAGGGCCTGGTTTGCAGAGGGTGTGACTTGGAACTCGCACCCTGGGGGGCGGGCGAGGACCTCGACAGAGCTCTCCGCCGCGCCCCGATGAGGCCGGACGAGGACAACGTGGTACCCCCCAAGCCCCAACGGCGCCGACCGACCCGAGGCCCCTCCAGGAACAGCGTGTCGAGTCCAGCGCCCGACGCCGGGGCCGCCGCGGCGGCCGCGCCTGCGGCGTGCGGGGCGCGGACGCGCCCGCGCGCGTCCGCACTCGTGCACGCCCGCGCACGCGCGCACCGTTCGCGTGCCCAGGTGCGCGCGCGAGCGCGGGTGCGTGCACGTGCGAGCGCCATCTCCCGCAACCGTGAGGAAGAGGAAGCAGGAGGAGGAGGAGGAGGAGGAGGGAGAAGCAGGATGGGGGAGGAGGAGGAGGAGGAGGAGGAGGAGGAGGAGGCGGAGGAGGAGGAGGAGGAGGAAGAGAAGGAGGAGGAGGAGGAGGAGGAAAGGAGGAGGGGGAGGAGGAAGAGAAAGAGGAGGAGGAGGAGGAGGAGGAATAGGAGGAGAAAGAGGATGAGGAGGATGAGGAGGAGGAGGAGGAGGAGGAGGAGGGAGAAGAAGCAGAATGGGGAAGAGCAAGAGGAGAAGGAGGAGGACGATGGCAGCGTCCCTTTGGATGTCAGTGCCAGCAGCTTCAGCGTCAGGAGGATGGGGGAGGAGGAGGAGGATTCTTGGAGCCCTCTTGCGGCCCTCTCGTTGGGCCTGGGCCCTCTTGGAGCTCGTTTGTGGATCGGGGCCCAAGATGCCCATTGAAACCCGCACAAGCAGACAGGTCAAACCATTGGAAAACGCGTGTTGATATATTATTATGCCAATGTTGGGAACATCAGTTGAAAGGCTCTTCGACAATCTTGGGCCGTATGCACAGTCCAGGGAATGACATGCCATGTCAGTGTGGCAAAAGGTCTGCTTCCATTGGGAGGTTTGGACTCGTCGGGCTCTCTCATTCTCTCCCTGGTCGCCTCGGTAGTGTGCGATCCTCCTCCTCTTCCTTCTCCTCATCCTCCTGCTCCTCCTGCCTCCTCCTCCTCCTCAAGGAGAGCGCTTCCCGAAGTGGAGCGGAGTACTTGTGAGACCTCATGAGGAGAGCACTTGGGACAGGAGGGTATATTGCAATATCGTTGGTGCATCCTGCGTTTTCTCAGCTACTCCTCCTCCTCCTCCTCCTCCTCCTCCTCCTCCTCCTCCTCCTCCTCCTCCTCCTCCCCATCTCCGCTTCCCTCCTTCCTGCCCTCCTCTGTTCCCCTCCCCCGCATTCTCGTCTTCATCCTCCTCATCCACCACCCACTCTTCCTCTTCCAACTCTTCCCTACCTTCCCCCTCAACGGCGACGACGGACAACGGACGACGGACGACAGCGACAGCGACGCACGACAGCGGCGGACGACGGACGACGACGACGACGACGACGACGACGACGGAGACGACCACGACGACGACGACGACGACGACGACGACGACGACAAGAAGACGACGACGACGAAAACGACAAACCGACGACGACGACGACGACGACGACGACGACGACGACGACGACGACGATAGAACGACGACGACGACGACGACGACGACGACGACGACGACGACGACGACAGCAGCAGCAGCAGCAGCAGCAGCAGCAGCAGCAGCAGCAGCAGCAGCAGCAACAACAACAACAACAACAACAACAACAACAACAACAACAACAACAACAACAACAACAACAACAACAACAACAACAACAACAACAACAACAAAATGACGAACAAAATTACGACGACGACGACGACGACAACAACGATAACAACAAATGACGACGACGAAACAGCGACGACGACGAAACAACGACGACGACGATGACGACGACGACGACGGCGACGACAACACGACGACGACGGCGCTCGCGGGCGCGGGGCGAGGTCTTCGGCGAGAGGGGGCCCCGAGCCGCCTGCGGCGCCCACGAGCGCTCCGAGCAGGGGGGCCCTTCGGCCTCTCCGGGCGACGACGACGGCGACGACGGCGACGACGGCAGCGCCGGCGACGACGACAACGACGACGACGACAACTTAACGACGACAGGACGACGACGACGACGACGACGACGACGACGACGACGACGACGACGGCGGCGACGACGACGACGACGACAACGACGGTGGCGACGACGACAACTACGAAGACGACGACGACGACGACGACGACGACGACGACGACGACGGCGACGACGACGACGACGACGACGACGACAACGACGGCGGCGACGACAACGACGACGACGACGACGGAACGGCCACGACGACGACGGAAGGGCGACGAAACGACAACGACGATAGAACGACGATGACGACGATGATGATGACGACGACGACGACGACAACCACAACGACAACGACAACGGCAACGACAATCACGACGGCGGCGACGTGAGGGGGAATGGGTGAGGACAAAATGCGGGAGGGATGGAGGGAGAAGGGGAGAGGCATGAGGGAGGAGGGGGGAGGGAGGGAGGAGAGGGGAGGGAAGAGGGAGGGAGGGAGGAGAGAGGAGGGAGGAGGGAGGAAGGAGGCGGGGAGGGAGGGCTGGAGGGGACGAGGTCGGAGGCAGGACGAGGGTGCGCGCACGTCCACCCAAAGGCCCCCAAGAGGCCACCCGAAAGGCCCCAAGAGGCCCCCTGAGGCCTCCAAACTGCCTCCAAGAGGCCCCCGAACGGCCTCCCACGAGATCCCGGCGAAAGAGAAGTAGATTAGGATCGACAATGAGAGAGAGAGAGAGAGAAACAAAAAAAAAAAGGGAGAGAGAGATATACATAAATATATATATATGTATAAAAAGAGAGAGAGAGAGAGAGAGAGAACAAAAAAAGAGAGAGAGAGAGAGAGAGACGCAGAGAAAAAAGAGGGACAACGCCAGGAGGTTTTCCCCCTCCATTGAACACCCCCCGCTGGAAGCCCTCCCCCATTCCCTACCCCCAGTCCCCGCCGCTGTCCCAGTGTTGTCCCACTGCCCCCGCTGTCCCCACCACTGTCCCACTGGCCCCACTGTCCCCACCACTCTCCTGACTGTACTTCATCACCACCGCCTTCACCACTGTCCCCACCACTACCGTCCCCACCACTGTCCCACTGTCCCCATCCCTGTCCCACTGTCCCCTCACCACTGTCCCCACCACCACCGTCCCCACCACTGTCCGCACCACTGTCCCACTGTCCCCACACCACTGTCCCCACCACCACCGTTCCCACCACTGTCCCAATATCCCCACCACTGTCCAACTGTCCCGGGGAGCGAGAATCGTTTGCCAGCGGCGAATGGGGGGGGGGTTCGAACCGGTAATGACCCCCCCCCCCGGTTTTCGAGGGGAGGGGTGTTCGAACCGGTAGTGACCCCCCCCCCCCTTTCATGATGGACTGCGGGGGGGGAGGGGGGGGAGGGGTTCGAACCGGCAATGACCCCCCCCCCGGTTTTCGAGCGGGGGGGGACGGGCTGGGAACCCCCAGTGACCCCCCCTCGGTTTTCCGCCAGCAGCGGTAGAACATGCTCTTTCCATTATCGGGAACGCCCTGGATCGGCGTCACTGACCACCAGCACAATATATATATATATATATATATATATGTACATATACATATATATATATATATATGTATATATATATATGTACGTAGCCCCCTCGGAGTTGAATGATATCCGCTGAGTGGCCCCAAATTTGAAGGACCGCGCCCACTCTGCCGCAGCCGCGCCAGGACGGCACGAACCTGCCGCATCTCCGTCCCCCACTTCCCCCCTCGGGCGTTGCCTAAGGAGGGGCGCAATACACGGGTGGTGAAGAACGGCGCACATTTCGTGCACCTTCGGCGACTGCAGTGAGCTCCTTTGGAGCCCCTGTAAGGGCCCTTCCATGCAACCCACGACGCCCCACATTTACGATCCAGGGTTGCCCCCCCCTCCCCCCCAATGCATATGGGATCGAGACCCCCTCCCCGGGTAGGCTGTGAGCCTCGCGAAGGCATGGAGATTAGGATCGCTCTCCCCTCCCATGTGGTAGTGGCGCTGCGGGCGTGGCTTTGTGGAGTGTGTCGGTGCGCCCACCACCTCCCTCCCCCTGTGGGTGTGGGGTGGCTCGTCGTCCGTCGTCGTCGTCGTCGTGGTCGTCGTCTTCGTCGCGGTCGCGTCCGTCGTCGTCGTCGTCGGCGTCGTCGGCGTCGTCGTCGTCCGTCGTCGTCGTCGTCGTCTTCGTCTCCGTCGCCCACCTCCCTCCCCCTGTGGGTGTGGGGAGGGTCGCCGTCGCCGTCGTCGTCGTCGCGTCCGTCGTTGTCGTCGTCGTGGTCGTCGTCGTCGTCGTCGTCGCACGTCGTCGTCTTCATCGTCGTCGTGTCGTCGTCGTCGTCATCGTCCGTCGTCGGCGGCGTCGTCGTCCGTCGGCGGCGTCCGTCGTCGTCGTCCGTCGTCGACGTCCGTCGTCGGCGTCGTCGTCATGGTCGTCGTCGTCGTCGTCCGCCGTCGTAGGCGTCGTCGGCGTCCGTCGTCGTCGTCGTCGTCGTCGTCCGTCGTCGTCGTCGTCGCGGCCGCCGTCGTCGTCGTCGTGGGCGTCGCCGCCGTCGTCCGTCGTCGTCGGCGTCGTCGTGTCGTCGTCGTCGACGTCGTCTTCATCGTCCGTCGTCGTCGTTGTCGTCGTTGCCGTCGTCGTCGTCGTGGTCGTCGTCGTCGTCCGTCGTCGTGTCGTCGTCGTCGTCGTCGTCTTCATCGTCCGTTGTCGTCGTCGTCGCCGTCGTCGTTGTCGTCGTCGCGTCCGTCGTCGTCGTCGTCGTCGTCCGTCGTCGTCGGCGTCGTCGTCGTCGTGCAATCGCCGTCGTCGTCATCGTCCGTCGTCGTCGTCGTCTTCATCGTCCGTCGTCGTCGTCGTCGTCGTCGTCGTCCGTCGTCGTCGTCGTCGCCGTCTTCCGTCGTCCGTCGTCCGTCGTCCGTCGTCCGTCGGCGTCGTCCGTCGTCCGTCCTCCGTCGTCCGTCCTCCGTCGTCCGTCGTCGTCGGCGGCGGCGTCGGCGTCGACGTCGGCGTCGGCGGCTGCGGCGGCGGCGCCAGCGTCGGCGTCGGCGTCAGAGTCGTCGTCGTCGTCGGCGTCGGCGTCGGTGTCGGCGTCGTCGTCGGCGTCGGCGTCGGCATCGGCGGCGACGGCGTCGGCGGCGGCGTCAGCGTCGGCGTCAGCGTCGGCGTCGGCGTCAGAGTCGTCGTCGTGTGCAGCGCCGGCGTCGGTGTCGGCGTCGTCGTCGGCGTCGGCGTCGGCATCGGCGGCGACGGCGTCGGCGGTGGCGTCGGCGTCGGCGTCGGCGTCGGCGTCAGCGTCGTCGTCGGCGTCGTCCGTCGTCCGTCGTCCGTCGGCGTGCGTCGTCGGAACATGACCGTTCACAACTCGACTTGGCAGGGTGGGGGCTCTCTGCCCGCAAGGTGGTGTTGCTGCTGGTCGCAGTCGCGGTGGTCGTGGTGGTGCTCCCCGTTGCGCTTGTGCTGCTGCGCGCGGTGCTGCTGGGCCCTGGTCGTTGTGCCCGCCGTGGTGCTGCTGCCGGTCAAAACGCGTGTCCTGGTGGGCGCGGGGTGCTGCTGGCCCCAGCCGTAGTGCCCGCCGCGGTCCTGCTGCTGAGGGTCGCCGTTGTGGTGGTCGTGGCTGTGCTGTGCTGCTCGCTGCGCGCACGCCGCGGGCCGCTGCAACCTCTCCGACCGTCCCTCCCACCGTCCCCGGGTCGCGGGGCAGCCTCTGACGGCGACGCCGCCGCGAGGGGCAGCGTAGGCCTCCGCAGAGGGGAGGCATGGAGAGGGCGAGGCCCAGAGATGCGACGAGGGAGCAGCAGCGACGGTGCCGCCGACGACGACGACGACGACGACGACGACGACGACGACGACGGCGACGACGACGCAGACGCCTACGAGAAGGACACCCAGGTCCCGGTCCCCCCTTCCCCCCTGCGTCCCCCGCCTCCTCCTCCTCCTCCTCCTCCTCCTCCTCCTCCTCCTCCAGCCGCCACCCTGGCGCGAGACCACCAGGGGTGGCCAGCACGCGGCGGCCATGTGACCCGCCGCGGCGACTGCGAGGGTACCGCGATGGCGCGGTCCGTGGGCCAATGGGTATTGCGTGTCATGGGCTTCAACCCGATGTTCGCGACGGGCCAGCGGATGCAGGAGATTGCATTGAGCTGCAGCAACATGGATGCGGTGCTGCTGGCGGGCACACAGGCTTCATCCCGACGTGCATCGGAAGTGCTGTGCCGAGAGATCGGCAAGCGTGTGGTGCTCGAGGCGGAAGCAGGGGTTGGCGCTTTCACCAATCGTTCGACGGGCTGCGCATTGATGCTGAGCTCGAAGTTCCGTGAACAGCACATCTGCCAGACCTGGGCGAGTTCACAGGGCGCTGAAGGCCGAGCACTAGCAGCACGCGTGAAGAATGGACAGCTCGACCTGGCATTCATTGTGATGTATCTGCCCCCGCAACCCCGTCACGCCCGCCTCGTCCCCCACTACAAGGCCACCGTCCAGCTAGTTGCCGAGTGGTACGATAACATCCTCCAGTGCCTGCCGAGCAGGTGCACGCCGCTGGTGTACGTGGACCTGAACGACGGGCAGGGGATCAGCCGTATTGCGGGGCAGTGGCATCAGATGGAGTCTTCCTCTTTGGGTCCTGGGCGTGCTCGGGAACAGAGGCGTGGAGGAGCGGGAGAGTTGTTTCGATTGGCGAATGAGCGCCACCACATGTTCACGGTGAATTCGAGAGGCGCAGAGCTGGAGCACACTTTTTACGGTTCGACGGGAGGGAGCAGCTGTATTGACTATTTCTTTGTACCCGATGGCATGATCGACATGGATCAACGATTTTCTCCATTACGTGGGCTGGCTGCCGAGCTCCAAGCATTTCGAGGGGCCCCGCCGAAAGATCACATCCCCATATACATGGAGCTGCATGGCTTGAGATTATCAGAGGATGGAGAGTCACCTTCACTCCACCGCATGTACTGGAATCAGGACGACATGATGAGATGCCTGCGACATGGTGACAGACGAGCTGAATTCTTGGAGGCGGTCGAGGCCAGCCTGTCAGATAGTGAGGACACGTGGAGAGCTCTGCTGCAGCACGGACGGCCTGATGACTTGTTCAAGCACCTGGACGACACAGTGGTCAGTGCGGGGTAGCAGTTTTTCAGCCACACCGTGTCCAACGACCCGACGTACAGGCAGGAGGCCATGGAGCGTACTGCACTTCTCCGTGAGCGGGCTCGTCTTCGTCGTTCGCGTCTTGGTATGATCGAGGATTCCATAGAGTTGCAGGAATGTGAAGCACGCTTGAGAGATCTCAGTCAATCGCTACGTAGGCACAGCGACAAAAGTATCAAAGGGAAAGGCGGACCGCCCTTCTGGAGGAGATTGAGGAGGCGTGGCAACATCGCCGCATGGCCGAGGCTATGCGTTTGTCCAGGAAAGCAGCCAGATGTCGGTTTGGGCCGAAACGACGGGACGGGCGACTTCTACGGTGAGGGCTTTTCTCTGAGGATACGCTCCTGGAACATTGGGCCCAGCAGGGCTGCGAGGGGGGAATGTCGGCACGCAAAATCGATTTCGACGCCTGGATGGAGACAGCCCCTGCAGGGGAAACGCCTTACGTATCACTGGAGGATTGCGAACTTGCACAACAGGACCAATGGAGGGTGAGGAAATAATTCCGGTCTGCCAGCAAAAGGAGAGTGGTACCATCGGGGACCCCGCCAGCGGAGTTCTGGCTGATGTGCATGGACCCGTCGAACAACATAGACACCACGCACATGGGGGTAGGATACAATCGGGAGGTTCCAGAGATGAAGCTGTTTGGGAAGATTCTTGAGGGAGGATTTCGGAATATTCGGGCAACCAACAGGACACCGCTGAGATGGCACGTCAGCTCGGGGGCTCAGCTCAGGAAGAACGCGAAACCAGGCCCAGTGGGCCGACGTACTGTGCACGTCATCCCGACCCTGGGGAAAGCCTTTTACTCGGGCCTCCTTCGAGCTCCTCCCATGGTCATCGAGCACGGATTATGTTCAGGCCGACGGCGCGAGGGGGCCATTTTAGTGGTGCAGCTGCTGTGCTGGCGCCTCCGACGCGCGGGCCATTCGTTCGCTTGCACGTATAAGGACATGACGAATGCATTTGCTAGTGGGTCTTGGGAGGAATTACAACAAACAGTGGATATTCACGCCGAGCCGCACAATGTTGACTTGTGTATCCAACGTTTTCGAAACAGTGTTATTTGGTTGGAGACGGTGGAGGGAGGATTGTACATCAAGACGGGGGAGGGCGGCACGATGGGGGACCCCTTCATCGTCGAAATCTTTAGGGGCACCTTCTCGCGACCCATCCTGCAGTGGCTTCGAAGGCTGAGGGAGTTTGATCCATCAGCCGCAGGTCTTGTGGCCAGCTGGAAGGAATTAAGAGCGGACGTCGGGGGCTGCCTGTACGCCGACGATATTTGCCGTGCGCACGTTGCCTCTCCCCATCATACGGTGGAACAGTTTTTTTCGGTTCTGAAGCAGGCTGATGAGGTGTTATCGGAGGAGTTGGCTGAGATAGGTTACGCCCAGAACGTTTCCAAGCAGGAGGTTCAGCTTTGTTTTCAGGGCCCAGGGGCTTTACAGTGTAGACAGTGGGCACGAGGGCGGGGACGTGAGCAGATTTCAGGACAGTTGAAGGAGGATGTGCGCTACCTCGGGCCGAAAATCAACATGTTGAAGTCTGCGACGGTGGAGATCCGTCGACGGGTTCAGGCGACGGCCGAATCCTACTACTCTCTGGGGCAGATGTGGACCCTGGAAGTTCCGTTCCGCTGGAAACGGATGCTGTTTCTCAGCTTCGTGCAGAATGCGGCGCTGACGGGATTAGAACCAATGCTGTTGACGCCTCGACATTATCGCGAACTCGACTCGTTGATGGCTCGGTACGGGAGGAGGGCGTTACAGGGGAAGGCGGTGACGACGGTACGCAGCACGGACGCCGACGACGTCAACGTTCAACGACGCATTCGTTCGTGGTCGAATCGGAGGGTGAGGCAGCATTGGCGTCTAGCTAGTGCGGAGACGGAGATGCTGGTGAGACGCTTGGGATGGTATCGGAGCTGGGCCCTCTCCCCCACCAATCACGCTCAGGAACTATGTCTTCTATTCGGGACCCTGGACCTGGACGAGGGGGGCAAACCGATGATCGGCCGCAGGGTTGTCCCGTCTAAAGCGTCTCCGTGGCTACTTCGAATGCAAGCTGAGTTTCGACGTGCGTCGGAACTCCTGGATGAGGGAGGAGTCTGTGCACACCTTGCGCTTTACCCTGGCGACCTCGCCGATGAAGAGCATCGCGAGTTCTGGATCCGAGCGGACTTCACTGAAATAAGGTCTCGGGAGCTCTCGATGACGGTACCCCCCATGGGCCACGAGGAGGAGGAGGAGGAGGAACAGCGGGCGGCGGAGTCTGAAGGAGAGGACGGACAGGGACATCACTGGAGCTGCGAGTGGGTCACGGAGGAGGGCGGTTTATGTGCACAACGGTTCCAGACTAGAAGGGATCTCATGAATCACATGCGTCGTAGGCACAAAGTTCACAATCTATGCTCTACGGTGACTCCTACAAATACATGTATTGTATGCCGACGGACTTTCGCCAGCCAGTCAAACGCATACAAGCACCTCCAGAGAGCCCTGCTGAGCGGATCATGTCCCACCGGTGATTCGGCAACATTCTCGGAGGTCCAGATCCCGTCGTCGTTGGGGTGTACGGTATGTGACTACATGGCGTCTGACTTGAATGACCTCTGCAGCCATTTGGTCACAAGCCATCTTCCAGTGGCAGTCGACCCTGCGCTGCACGAAGTTCACGGTCACGAGGAGGGCACCTTCCAGAGTGATGAGCGAGGAAGGGTCTCTTCCCAAGCCTGCCTGGATGGCGGGCCTGTCATCCGCCCCCGCGGCCAAGAAGGGGCGCAGCAGCGCCCGCGACGAGGCCCGCAAGGTGGCAGGAGGCGCCAACGCATTGCAGAATCTGGTGCTCATCTTGGCCAAGCTCGTCCTCACAGACAGCCGCGCGATCGCGGAGCTCAGCAGCACGGTGTACCGCACGTACGACATCAGCGCGGACACGAACTTCGCCGTCGAGAACGAGAACGCGGGCCAGCAGTACAACGATCAGTCGCAGGAGCTCAAGGCCAAGCAAAAGGCGGGGGAGCAGGTCGACTTTCAGAGCCGCGGACCGCCGTACGTGTCCATTTTCATGCAGGTGATGATGTGGGCCGCCAGCCTACAGGGGAAGGAGGGAGTCACCCAGGAGAGGTGGATGGGGGAGGTCAAGGAGTTCTGGGTGGAGAGGCTCTGGAAGATGACGATCTCAGAGGTCGGATGTCTGGTGCTGCACTGGCAGTGGTAACGCAACAAAGGGAAGCAGCAGCAGCAGAACGAGCAGGCTCGTGGGAGGCTCATCTACGCGATCGACCAAGCTCATCCTCTGGGCATCGCGACGGTGTCGATGATCGAAGGCATCCTGAAGAGCGTCGGGGCAGAGAGGAAGATCGGCCCAGCACCTCGGGGCCCGCTCGAGAGGGATGCGTCGAAACTCTTGTCAGAGCTCACCAAAAGGCGTAGGTAGCAGCAGCAGCGGTAGTCAGTTAGCACAGCGTCCTTCGAATTCGTACGAGGGACGTTCCTCCACGAGCCCTCGTGGTGTCAGAAGCGTCGAGTACTTGCGGGGTAGTTCGAGGTTGGCTGAGCTTATTAGGAGAGGAATCGTTC